TTTCCCGATGTACTAAACATTTTATTTATAAGTCAATTTTTGACCTTCAAGTGTGACCTTGACCTTAAGTCGGCAAAAGGGTGACATGGGTTCTGCACATCCCCTTGTTGAGGTGAACATTTGAGCCAAGATTGAAGAAAATCTTTCAATTAGTGTAGAACTTACAGAGCGGACAAGACATAGTGTGTAATATTTGATTGTTTGATATTTGACCTTCAATTGTGACCTTGAACTTGAGCTGACACACACATGGGCAACATCGGTTCTGCACATCCCCTTGTTGAGGTGAACATTTGAGCCAAGTTTGAAGAAAATCCTTCAATTAGTGTAGGACTTACAGAGCTGACACGACATACTGTGTATTATTTGATTGTGTGATATTTGACCTTCAATTGTGACCTTGAGCTGACACATGGGCAACATAGGTTCTGCACATCCCCTTGTTGAGGTGAACATTTGAGCCAAGTTTGAAGAAAATCTTTCCATTACTGTAGGACTTACAGAGCGGACACGACATACTGTCTAATATTTGATTGTGTTTGATATTTGACCTTCAATTGTGACCTTGACCTTGAGCTGATACCTGGGCAACATAGGTTCTGCACATTCCCTTGTTGAGGTGAACATTTGAGCCAAGTTTGAAGAAAATCCTTCAATTGGTATAGGAGTTATAGAGCGGACACAAAAATGGAGACGGACCGACGGACGGACGGACTGACCGACCGACCAACGCGACAAAGCGAATTTATTATAGCCCCCCCCCCCCCCCACATTTTGTGGTGGGGGTATAAAAACTAAAAAGCTATGTAACAAATGGGTTTAAAAGGGGCTGGCCTCCAGATGACAGACAAAAGAAGATTTTCTCATACGTAAGAGTAATGGTTATATTTATAAAGAAGGCTTAGAAACAAAGTTCATGACGAAATTATTTTAAACAGTATAAACAGTGATTTGTCTTTTTTTCTAAGTCTTGCACATTAACACGACGGTATAACAATAATGTATATAGCTTAAACTATTTGCCTTGATTGAGATGCCGCGACAAACGTGATAATCAATGTACTGGGAAACCTTTGTGAAAAATTTATATTTTGCAATATATTTATTTATAAAGAAAATCAATGAACCCCTTGGACGGGGCCAATTTTGACCATAGTGCTAAATCTTAACAAATGTAGTGGGGATCCTCTAGATAATGATTCTTTTCAAAACCTTATTAGCGACTAGAAAGTGATAATTTTTTTACCAATACCATGCTATAATAGAATGCAATAAAAATTACAAAGTCAGCCATTAAACATGTGTTTTAACTTATTTTAGTTTAAGTACAACCTCAATTAAGTTGGATATTTATGTAATAAAAAAATATTTTTTTTTGCTTTAACAATATATTTGAGTTTTGTTTTGATGAAATTTAAATCAGCCCTACACTTTTAAATGTCATAAGAAGACTTTAAAGCTTAACTGGTGGAGAAGGACCTAATGTACCTCATCGTGTATTAGATATGGTAAAGTCACTTCAGAAATATAGCAAAGATTAGAAATAGCCCTTTAAATAAACAAACAATCAAGCTATTTTATTGTTTGATCTAATGATAATAATATCACAGGCACGAGTATCGGACCTGGGAAGAAAAAATATGACCAGATTGATAAAAAAACCTGTGTTCATCTTAAATGTGTCCAAAAAAAAACAAAAAAATGTAAATAATGACCCCCTTTAAAAATAGACTATAAGTTAAGAGAAGGCCGGAAACTCCAGATTCGAGCCTACGAGCAAGGGATTAATTTCCCGGGCCGTTGTGAAAACAATTGGCCAGACAATTAAAAAAAACTTTTATCACTATTTCACGTTTATATTAAGCTTCAAAATGAGACCAACCCCAAGTCTCTAGCCCTTCCCGTTCATGAAATATCTATCAGGAAACGAGCGAATTCGTGTTAAAAATCCTTGGTAGACAGAATTGCGGCACAACAATTCGATACGTAAACATAGACTAATACATGTATGTCAGCTGACTACGGGTCAAAATTACTTGAATTTACTAAATAATATTACTAAATACATTAAGTTGGACCACTCACAACCGTCAGTAGCATCTGATACACACGAGATTCGAGTTTCAAACATTTACACGGTCTTTTAATCGCTTTCTACGCCATTAGGCATCCTTGTGTGAAACATTGCGGTTTTCGTTGCTATTGGCCAATCAGAAGACTCGTTACAAAATATCGAAATATCGAACAGCTGATTGACAATGGCGTAGAAAGTAATCTTAAGACCGTGGAAAGGTTTGAAATTCGAATTGTGCGTGTATCAGATGCTACTGACGGTTGTGAGTGGTCCAACTTAATGTATTTAGTAATATCATTTAGTAAATTCAAGTGATTTTGACCCATACTCAGCTGACATACATGTATTAGTCTATGTTTACGTATCGAATTGTTGTGCCGCAATTCTGTCTACCAAGGATTTTCAGCACGAATTCGCTCGTTTCCTGATAGATATTTCATGAACGGGAAGGGCTAGAGACTTGGGGTAGGTCTCATTTTGAAGCTTAATATAAACGTGAAATAGTGACAAAAGTTTTTTTTAATTGTCTGGCCAATTGTTTTCACAACGGCCCGGGAAATGAATCCCTTGCTCGTAGGTTCGAATCTGGAGTTTCCGGCCTTCTCTTAACTTATAGTATATTTTTAAAGGGGGTAATTATTCACATTTTTGTTTTGTTTTTTTTGACACTTTTAAGATGAAAACAGGTTTATTTATCAATCTGGTCATATTTTTTCTTCCCAGGTCCGATACTCGTGCCTGTGAATAATATGTGTATGTTCCTGGCACATAACATGCATTATGTTGAGAAAATATACACACATTTAGGATCTTTAACTGTTAGCAAAACGTTTTTATTCAGCCAACATGGAATCCTTTAAAGGTATTCCTAGGATATACAAAATTTTCTTTTACGAATAAAAACAGGAAATTTATTTTTGATCCATTAATAAAAGAAGAATACCTGTTGTCACATTGAAAGAAATTGTTTCTCTCACATTTCCATCGTCGCAAGCAAATGAAAGCGCAGCGTGAGAAGAATCCATTGAATCTATATTGAGTTTGAAAACCCCTGCAGTTTCATCAAAAGTGAAATTAAATGTATATGGTTTGTTTAAAGAAGGACCACAGTTCCCTAAAAAGCAGTCAGCGTAGAGTTGATTGTCCACGTACCAAGTCATCACATTATTATAGGGAGTAATTGTGCAAACGAGCGTTACGTTTGAGCCTTTTATATAAGTCATCTCTCCATCAAATGTTTGCAGCAAAACGCTTGCCTCTGAAAAATATAAATAGTGCATAAATAAAACATAAATGCAGTTTATCTGCTTAAATTAAGTGACGCAATATGGTGTCAAGATATCATTCAAAGAAATATAACTGGAGTAAGATATTTACTCTGTTTTAAAATGTATCACAATTCAATAAAATATACAAGTAAGTGATATACTACTTACTAAACTAGTTTACCACATAATTATCAGGCTATCTGGTTTAAAGTGACTTAGATTTTAAGACCTAGTGACTTACTTTCTTGTTTTCGTAGCTACATAAATTTGGATAGCACACAAAATGTGACATGCCATGGCATTTCGATACCAGCAATTTGGATTTTTTACCAGTGACTTTTTTGTATTTTGAATACGACTGTGTAAAATTTCAGATGCAGAATAAACTTTGAGGCCAGTTGACCAAGAATTTTACATAGTGACTTACTTTTCGTAATTATATGATACAAGCAACAACCAAAATGTTTGAACTCAATAATAAAGTTAATTGTCATTAAAGATATTGGTTGACCTTGATTTTGAACCCGTGACATACTTTTCTTCTTTATCTACAAAATCTTAAATGTTTACCTTATGCACAGTTTCAGAGGCAGCCTTGACATTTCGTCGCCCTAATTCCAGAGTGTCGTAACTCCAATTTTGAAAAAAATGAGTGTTTGGTATCAAAATGTTCGTAATTTTTTGCTCTATCTAATGGTAAGAACAACATCACTCTGGTTCATGCCTGTAACAATATATTGAATGGGTCAGAGTGCTGTAAGTCCAAAAATTGTGATAAAAATACAGTCCATAATATCGTAACTTCTGAACCAATAGTTTGTTGAGATTCTAGTCACGTGATGCTGTATTGACAAAATGGCAGATTTTTCAAGGTATCGGGAATGACATTTTACGTTTTATATTTCTTGATAACATGTAAGTGTTTTGCTTTAGATGTTATCTAATTATCTATAGCTTAATATTTTAATGAACTGTTTCAAACCTTAAAAATAAATAATAACTACTCTTTACACTTTAGCTAAATTCAAAGCACCATTCTGTGTTATGAAATTCGGATAGCATGGAAATCGGAAAAAATGATACAAACTTTCAATATTCACAAGTATCAGCTGTTCATAACTTGATATGTGAATGATTATATGATTGATTGATCAGTGCTAACTTGTACATATTCAGATTAAATACGTACAATTAGGTTTTTGCATTAGATTGTTTATACTTTTAACTTACAAACAAAACTTATCAAATGGAAAACATACTACTGCCATTGTTACATTTTGTCTTTAACTATATAAGACAAATTACCGTACTGGTGCTAAGTGATTCTAATAAAATTTACACATATAACTTAACAACTCATAACTGATGTTAAATTAGGTGGTGTTTACTTCATGATTATTTCATAACTCATAATTTCATTATTTTCATAATTTCAAAATAATGCACTTTCATATAACGATCACAAAAATATGAAAAGTTTTGCTGTCCAAGGCATTATGAAATCTAGACTGGTTAACAATACCCACTATCATATAGAAAGAAAGACAAAACACTTTTAAAATGTTCAGTCCTACATCACTCGTTTGTGTTCTTAAAACAGTACATCCAAACGTCAAAGGCTATATGGTGGGTTAAAGTTGACAATATCCCTATAAAAAAGTTTAAAAGCTGAGAGGTGTCTCAGATGCACCATTTAGCGTTGAATAAGAGACGTCATTTGCACAACAAATACTTATTAAACAAAATGCCACCTTCTCAGCTATTTTGCATAAATCAACAGGGTGTCAGTCTATACCTTTTTGTCAACATAATCATGTTCAATCTTATGCTGAAATTTATTATGTAATTGGAACATGCAAAGCAAAATTAATCTAAGTTTCTAAGTTAAAAATAATTCTTGTACATTTACTTCCAACTCGTAAGGTAATACTACCTGTAATTATCAAGTGATTTGAACCATTGAACTGAAAATTATCCATTACGAAAACTATTTTTTAAAAAGAAAAAAATGTGTGGTTAAAAATTTTCATTCGATTGAAACGTAAAAAAGAATAATTTTGTGAAGAAATGTTACAAAGTCTTAAGACCATATAAAACATTAAGAACTCTTTAAATTGTCATATTTGTTTCATCAAACGTTTGTTGAGGTAAAATAGAATTAATATTTGTCTGAAACTCTTAGATATTGAGCATTGTTTTTATACGAATGAGTTATTGATGTTAACAGTTCAGATAAAAACATTAAATGCAACGTATACTTAATTGTTATTGTATGTAAAGAAGTTGTATGCCACTTTATATATAAATACATGTAGTAATTGAAGCACAGTAGTTCATTGAAACACCGTATCCAGATCTGTAGCATCTTTGAACATTTGTGAGCTTTGAGTTGTGTCTCATATTTTTCATTTTTTTTTAAACAAAACATCAAGTAATGCTGTTCTTAGAAAAGTAAAATACATAGGTTTATTCTTTTTTATGTTACAGAGAAAGGAACTCATTGTTGAGTGTACATCTTTCAAACATTTTTGTGTGTTTTGTAAGTCAAATTATGTTCAACATGCTGTTTGTCTGCAAGCTACAGGTATTCAGAATTGAATTTGGAATGAATTAATTATATAATAAACGAAACCAAAAGTAAATCTGAATTCCAAATATTTTATATTGTACAGTCTTATTGCAAAAATAGCATATCATATGATAAAAAGTTTGCTATTTTATGTGGTAAATATCAATACAAGGACGATGTTTCTAAATTTTGTTTTCGTTTTGTTTACCTCAATGTGATACATTTACAAAATCAGTAACATCTTATTTTTTTTGTTCATTTGCAAGGCTCACTATTTCATGTAAATGGTGATAAGATAATGAAGCCCGGGATCTATTTCAACCTTAAATTGCCTGTTCGTGGCTATTCACACTTCGCCGCATTGTTTGGATTTCTATTATTGACTTTTAAGACTAAATTTACTGTGTTGATCCTGATCACATTCCATGCTCTGTGGTGCCTAAATAAATGTGGATTCAGACTATTCGTTAAAGAATTCAATTTCTAGTTACCTCTAAATTTAATATAATTTCAGTATAAAACAGTTCAAAAGTCGTTATTTCACACTGTTGTAACTCCTAAATGTAATGATATTTTAGGGTCACATTGCTGTAACTGAATACAGCATTCTGGTTCTTGTATTTTTGTCAATAAAATTTATTTTTCAGTGATTTTTCATTTTTTTTATTTTGATTTTCAAAAAAACTATCTACAGGAACTTCTTCGTAATTAAAAGTGTAAAAGTTAAAATAATTCTGCATACTATGATATATTTTATATTAAAATTGGTTGAGTTAGTATGAAGATATAGCCTGTTAAAACTTTGAAGTCGATTTTCTCAAAATGGTAAAATACGACTTACATCATTATGGAATTAGGGCGACGATTTACCTTGTGCTTGCTTTTTTATTATTATCCCCATTAATTATCTTTTTCAATAGTAACAACATACCCATAAGACATGACCTGTTTCTATTTAGATCTATAGCAGTATGAAAAGAAAAGAAACAGAGTAAAGCTATTTTTACAAATGCATAATGCATATTCTTGAAATTTATTAATTTAATTTTAAAACATCGGCTGCAGTTCGTGTTTATAATATGCTTGAATTAAATTGGACGCCTTTGAATCTTACTTTTTTCAATGTTTTACCATAACATCATAAATTACTTAATGTGCCCAGATTATTATCTAAAATTGGTGTATGGTTTAATTATCATGTATTTAATAAACATGCCTAAATGCTTAAAGTTGAAAGTGCCAAACGTTACAGGTGTTTTTAATTATACGTGTCTTTCATTTTACTACTCCGTTGCTATGGCAAAAAACATGTTTCATATTGATGCACAAAATATCAAATCTAGCTTTCTTAAATACTTTTTAAATTAAGATACATTCCAAAGTGCAATCGAGCTTCATGGTGACTATTCATAGTTTCAATTATCAAAAAGTACCAGTTCACAAAATACTGAAACTTAATTTTCGTTAACCCCACCCACTTTAAGAATTATACCAGAATCTCCATTTTTCACATTTAAGATAAAAAAATAAGGGTACAGTTAGTAAAATGTTGTTAAAGTCTTTGTAATATATGGTAAAAATATTCATGTTCTCTGCAATGCCTTGACTAATAGAAGACAATGTCAGCCCAATGTAAAATTTTTGATTTTTTATGCTTTTTTGCAAAAAAATATCTACAAAATCCAGACCATATGTATAAATAGTTGAAAAGGCCCCATTTTAAATTGTTCCAATAGGATGTGAAGTTCTTACATCACTTATTCTAAGATAAATAATTTTATCAGATAAAATATCAGCCATTTTTCAATAATGTGGCGGCCATATTAGTGGCCATCTTGGATTTCCCATAATGTACCATGATTTTACATGTATACCAAAATTTTTGTAGACTTTAAATATTTAGATTTACATTAATATAACTTTTATCCATGAACCTTTCTTTGCACACAAAATGTCCCCAGGGACTGTACTTAGGAGTATTTTAGAAAAGCTTGTAAAACCAAGGAGTCACTAGCCTGATTAATTCAAGAATGCATCGGGTATATCAAATGTTTATAATCAGCGTTAAATGTCGAGTAGATTACTCAGCACTCATCTCAAAATATTTAAAACTGCAACAAAATTCAAAATTCAAAAAATAATAAAAAAAATACAACAATTACTTTCAGTCTTATCATGTAGAATAATCGAGGTCGCTAAACTAGATTATACCATATTTTTTCTTAAACTAGATTGTTAGTGATTTTATTAATATTGGCTTCTTATATGATTACCTGTGACTGAAATGAACACTCCAAATATACAACTTTTGAGAAGAAACCATCGTATCACATACATCACGAAATAGCTGAAGAACAAAAAGTATTCTATCAATAACAAAGTTGGAAGAAATAATTGAAACTTTCTTTTGTTGAAACGTTTTCAGATTCGTTTTGCATTCAGGTTAAAAAATATTTATTTTAAAGAATTTCTACCAGCTATATATATCCATGTCCAAACTTGTTTTACATAATATTGAGTAAAATTAGTCAAATGCAAGTACGAACCAGATAGGCCGTACAAAATTTAAAAAAACTAAAACATTTTACTTACTGTTCTATGACTAGATTGTCATAAATATGTGCTTAACAGTTTATTTTCATATATTATCCAGTCATATCTTTATACAGACTGTACACTAACACGATTGATAATCGATATACATTTTAAGTTAACTACCGCAATACACCATAATCTACCATATTTTACACACGCGAATTAAAAGGCGATCTGAGTGTAAACCGTGGCATATTTAAGTTAAATAATTTAAAACATTAACACGACTTTTTACAAGACACATAACCTACGAAGATATATTTCAAAGAACGGACTTACCAATGAGATTATTGCACTCGTTGGTCCGGAGTACGCTTATAAAATTCAACAAGGCTTATTGATTTTGTTCTTAATATTTTGGATACATGTATTCCTTATATGTCTACATTTTGAGAAAGGAATTTTTGGTTTGAGAAGTCTATGCATTTAGTTTCGATTACACGTATTTTGGACCACCTTTAAAAAAGGGCGACATCTAAACTGCTGGCCAATTATTAAACCGATGTTAATGGGATTCAAATCTGGGCTTTTGGCGGGTTAATCACTTATAAATGCAACATTATACATTCTAAGGAATTTCACAATATTCCTTGCTGCATAGCTTGTAGCATTATTCTGTTGAAACATAGTAATAAGGGGCTTATTTTGATACTGTGGGATAACGTGCCTTGTGAATCCCATCTGTGTACCGCTGGACATTCAAATTCCAATTGACGAGAGGTGTGCGATAACCATGCGCAATATCTGCCAACAGCGTTATATGAATCATCTCTTTCAAACACACATCATTTGGCATATTATTCATTTTATTAGGGTCCGTGAAATATCAATGTTCCATCATTGCCTTATCCATACCCAATTTAAAATAATTCAGACTATAAGGTTTGATTTTATAAATAATTATATACTCGTCCGTGCATACACTAGAAAATCGTGTTAAGCGTTTTTTGTGTATGTGTAATTCGTATTATTAAGTTAAAAGTAGTTTTACTTTAAACATAACCGTTCTCCTGAACATTCCGTTTCGTGTTGCAACGCAATTAACCGTGCTAATCCCTGCCACTCCGTAGTGTATCGTAATATTTTGCCCCGGTCACATATTCATGGATAACGCCACGGAACAGCTACGATCTAACCGATCACGAATTACTACGAAAATGTGACATTCCGCAGTCCGCTACGGTTCCAGAACGGAAACACAACGGTATGAGTACAGAGTCCGACGGATTTACAGCCAAAATGTAGGATAAAGCCCGGGAGAGACACGGATTGTTACGGACCAACACGGTTTGATACGGAGCGACACGAATCAGGACGAATGAACTACGACTACACTACGGTCAGCTACGGTATAAGCACGGGCTAGTACGATTAAGTACGGTCTGATACGGAGAAGATTGAATCGCCACGGATCTATATGAACCTATTATATCCGTCCACAACCTCTTGCATGCTCATTTTCAAAATGCCTCAAAAGAAAAGAACATCTAAAAACGAATTGCAGAGTTCAATGATTCTTGCGGATAGGATTCAGCATCATCGCGTCCGACCCCCGAGACATTTCAGGTGCGATTCTAGAGACATTCTTGTAGGACGCCGGATCCTCAGCAACAATCTCATACTGGCCATAAAGGGGTCTTCATAAAAGCAAATCTCTAGTTCACCATCTTTCTGTCTTCTCTTACCTGATTTAATTTATGATCATCAATGAAAATGTTGATCAATATTGCTTTTCTTTTGATTTTAAAATTGGCTGTTCATTTTACAATTACATTAATTATCGTGAATGTTTGTGTTTTAAGAATATGTAAAAAGCTTGTTAATTAATCTTATAATTACTCGAAGGCCAGCGTCCGAGACTTATGAGACTACGTTTTATGTTCATATTTACTCCAATTTCACCATCCAATGTTTTGTTTAATATATTAATAACTTTAAATGTTCTATTTCTTATGCATTGTAGCACAATATTAATATAGTTTATACCTCTATGCATGTTATCAAGCAATTTGACCATTCCCTCCGTATTCCATATCAATGTACAGTTGCAACCAGTTAATGGCAAATATCTTTTATTGAATGTTCATGATTATGTTCTAAACATGAAAACGCAAACATGTTTATTTTTAACAAGAAAATAGAATTTATACGCTTGAAAATGTACATGATACTTAGTTTATTCGTACTTAACAGTGGTGGACCGTACCATTCTGTACCGTTTCGTATTGCAACGCAATAAACCGTATTAAAACCGTCCTAATCCCTACCTCTCCGTAGTACAACGTATTACAATTGTGGCTTTCCTCGACAGTGTCGTATTAATCCGTATTAAAACCGTAGCTTAAACGTAGGGTAACCGTACAAATACGTAGTTTTCCGTATCAAACCGTGGAAACCCTTGACAAGTTGGGGTCTACAAATCAGTTCGAACTAGAAAGCTTTTTGTACGGACGGACCAGTACGTATCAGTACGGTTTAATACGGACTAGTAGGGATACGCTACGGTTGATTTTTCCATAGCAATTTTTTGTGCATGTTCAAAAATTGTCAAGGATCGCGACTGATATACAAAGACTACTACGATTGATTACGGTTACACTACGGAGAGCTACTGACCAGTACGGGTAGCTACGGACGATGCCGGAATTAATCCGTGGCTCTTCCGCGATCGTATTCCGAGAATAGGCGACAGGGATATTTCTATCATGGCTTTCCGTGACAATGCCTTATGAATCCGTATTAAAACGTTAGCTTATACGTAGGGTAATCGTACAAATACGTAGTGCACCGTATCAAACCGTAAAAATCTTTGACAAGTTGGAGCCTTCGAATCAGTAGAACGTACTAGTTTGGTTTTTGTACGGACCAGTACGTATCAGTACGGTTTGATACGGACTAGTAGGGATACGCTACTATTGTTTTTTTCGTAGCAAATGGTTTCGTACATATTCAAAAATTGTCAAGGATCGCTATTGCTATACAAGGATTACTACGATTGATTACAATACGGAGAGCGACTGACCAGTACGGGTAAATACGGACGATACCGTAGTTAATCCGTGCAGTAAATATTGATACCCGTTACCTATCGTCTGGAACAAATTAATACTTTAAAAAATGCGAAATGTAAACTTATTTATATCGTATGTCTTTCGTTTAGCTTTCATTATTTAAATCTTAGAACATATGCTCTGGGGCAAAAGAAAATATGCACATAGTGCATATATACCACGTATAAATGATCTTTACATTATCATTATTATCATTATTATTATAATTATTATTATTATTATTATTAAGAAGATATGAAACAGAACATAAAGATTTTGGAGAAAAAATCAAAATTTTGAAGTTCAAATGCAAAATGATATATTGTATTAATATAATACTAATTCTTACACACCAACCAGTAAAAAAAACCTGATGTCTTAACATTTGGAAAAATTTGATATCGTCTACAAATTTGAATTTTTTTATAATAAGTTACCTGAGCATTCGAGTACCAAATAGTGTTACAATCACTGTTTTATTAATTGAGATACATGACATAAATAGATTTTTATCACGTTATCAATTTGTTTATGACTTCGATCTTTCTTTGATGTTACATTTAGTACCACAAATACTAACGATTTAATAAATAAACATGACATAATGTTGACCTTACAAAAGATAGAGAAACTTTTAACAGACACACAAAATTAAAACAAAACTGCTCTCTTAATTAAACACATAGCACTCCTAACGTTAGTGTATTCCGGTGTTTTATTTAGATGATTATGGTGGTATTTGCTGATAAACTCGGTGCACAGTATTGTGTGGTGTAACAGTATACCTCACTGTTAATTGGATTTATTCAGACACAGGTACTGTTCATCATCAGAGTTAAATTAATTGTAAAAATATATATGTTATGGTGAAAACAAGTATTTAAAGTAATCATGATACAATCTTACGTAAAAGGTATTTTTTATAAAATAAATTCTTCTTTTGAAATTTATTTCATGTTACACTTAAATTTCATTTAAGGTAATACGTAATGTTCTTGTATAAACATGCCTATAGGCAGTCATTGATATATTTTTACGCCTGAATTATTTTTGTAGACATTGTTGTTGATAAAAGACGTTATTCATATAATCACAATATTATTTGGAAATAATATAAAATAAAAAAAATATCGCAATTAAATGACCTTTGGGCCAACTAGTAAAATACTGAAAACTGTTAATGTAATGCTGTGAATACTTACGATTACAAACGATGTTTTGGATGCAAATACTCAATTATGAGCTCATTAGTAAAAAGTATATTCATAATATCAGAGTGTATACCTTATTACCGCTATGTTACTGTTACGCACTTCCTTTGTGTATTATCTTGTAAGGAGTCTGCCATACATTAAAATTGACGGTTCTTCTGCAGTTATATGTTTATAATGGACTACTTATAACGGGCACTTTGATACAGTGAAATCATTAAATGTTTTGATATATAACAAAGATATATCAAAGAAACTAGGCGGAGAAACATAATAAAGGAACATAAAGAAAAATTATTTGAAATAATTGAAATAAGATACCTCTGATCCCCTTTCAAAATTCCATTTTATTTAGTTCCGCCCATTGTTTTCTCGTCTAGGGCACACGCATTTCTTTACTTGGGGACCATATGCCGCTTTTCATGGAATGGTACTTACGTGTCACATTGAAGGTTCCATGATAACCGCCATATGAACACATCTGCGGATGTTTCAAAATTCAAAATTATACCAGTTCATGTTAAATGTTGAATTCTGCTTAAGCCGGTGCTAGGGGCGTGGACGGTAATTTGCACTTGACAGTACCCTCCATGAACAGGCTCAATCAAACCGAGCCTGCAACATTTTCAATATTGCCGTGTTGGACTTTCTTTAGGGATTATTATTTTCTCTATTCTTTTGTACACATTGCCATCCTGTATTAGATAAAGTGCCTTTAGATTGTGTTAATTTGTTTTTTCAATTTCTTGAGCGTAAAAGCAAATTATAACTAAAAACCGAAATAAAGAGAAAATAATATTTTGGCTTAATGCACTTTGCCTTACTGCCTTTAATCACTATTTATAGTTTCTTTAAACTTCCCTCCATTATTTTAAAGTGATTGTCCGGACAAACACAATCCGAAGAGACAATTTTCTGTCTGACGCGCAAAATTCAAGAATAAATTATTAAAAATTTGTTTAATAGTTCTTATGGTAATCGATAACAGAAATATGCAAACACAACTAAGCAGTGACATTCTTATGTAGTTATTATTTGCCAAATGTCTTTTCTTTGGTGATATAAACCGTGATTAATGATTGATAAATGATTGACAAATTTGGAAGCACTTCTTGCAAGCTGAAAATCTGAATGTCAAATGAAAGAGTGTTATGCCTAGATGTATCCATGTAAAACTTTACATCAATACAGAATACATTTGTTTCAGGTTACAACATATCTCCATTTATGATATGCTAAATTTCGAAAATGCAGATATTGAAATTCCATTTAAATATCCTTGCTCTCTGTTTCATTCAGGGTAAGTACAATTTGTCATATACAATTTTTGTTTGTTTGTTTCATTTAACGCCTTTTCCAAACAGTATTTCAGTCATATAGGCGGGTTGTTTTTTAATCATCGTTCCTGGAGAGTTACACCAGTACTTAGACTACCTTGCTCCGTGGTAAACTACCAAAGCGTCCCCCGGGGATCAAACCCACGCCAGAGAGGTAACTGGATTAGAAGAACTCGACTCTAACCCCTTGACCACGGAGGCGGTCCTTATATACAATTAGTAATTGACAAATGTTTTCGTTAGCATCCATTTTCAATAGACCTGCATCTGATTTATCTAATAGACATATCTTTATGTTATATAGTTATTTGTTTCCATTTTTAAAATTCGCAATTTACAGATTTTCTCAAAAAAGATGTGCTTTATTGAAATTGGATTTTGTAGCATGTTAGGCTTATAAAATCTGTCATATATTTCGGTTCGGACCGCAATATCCATCCCGAGGGGACCCGCGCATTGGGTGGCAACAAGGTGTGCCGAGTTACCGCCCATGGGCGTGTTCCCGAGGGACGGATATTCCGATCCGAACCGCAAACATATTTCAGATATTTTTTCTTGCACATTCTGCCATATTATTTCATATTTAAAACGGTTTACCTCAATATGATATATGTTTTTGGAAATTAAAGTCATTTCATCCATTACTATTTTCTTACAATAGCGTGTGAACTTACAACTAAAATAACAACGGCGAAATGACGTCATCTGAAGCACATATTTGCCTTCTAAACCGACGTCATTTAAACGCGGTTCATTCATAAAGTGCGCTAAAATGACGTTGTTGTTTGGCACGCGACTCATCTGGCACCCCCATGCCAGATGAAATTTCCGGAAACGCCAGTCTGCCATGAAAGAAAAGTGTATAAATCTTTATGTCTGTCATAACAACTACCGTTATTCAAAGATGGCTGTTTTATTTCAAAATCATTTCGAAATATATATTCATTTTCTGTCATTTTTGTTTGATACGTTTCAGTAAAAAGAACGCTTTTTTGTTTACAAATGTATAAAAAAAGCATTATTCTTTTAAAATAAAACAGTCAAAGTATCAGGATTTTTTTGTTTCTTATAAAAATGCAGTAGGCATGAAGTTATTCTACGAATATAAAGAATAAAAAGAATTAAATATAAGCAGTCGGAAACTTAACTAATTAAATATCATTTTTTTATTTAAAGGTTTATCATGTCAAAGCATAGTTCTAACTCCGACCAAAGCTTACGCCGATATAAACGAGCCATTAACGTTAACCTGTACGTATATTGGTTACATCAATGTCGGAGGGACGAAGTGGAATATAAATAATCAGCATACACCATATATAGTAAGACAGCAAGGTAACATTTGTAGTGGTAATGGAATCTTCGCTGATGGCAACATTTACAGAGTTGGTTGTCCAACTGATACATCTTTCACCGTAACTATATTACGTGTACAACAAGAACATCTGAATGTTCCATGGGAATGTTTGGACCGTGACAGAACAAGTAATACGGTTAACATATTATTAAAAGGTAAGATATCTACTTGAACGCGTTTACAATAATAAATTTAACTACATGTATATAACAACAAATATTTAAATGTGATACTTGTATCAATGGCATCAGTCGAAAGGTTAGTTGTGAAATTTCCGTGTTTAGCTTTTCCTTTACTGTAACCATGACATTTGATAAAATTAAATTGGTTGTAATTCATTTAACTACACTTTTTCGTCATAAATATATAAACCGTATTTAGGCTTAGAGTGAGGTACCGAAAGTACTTATATTGTTGGCAATTTAAAGGAAATATCGCATTGAGTTCCTTTAAATTGATATCTCTTGTATTGTTGTATGACACCGTCTGCTAAGCTCAAAAGATCACCGGCTCGATCTTCTTGTGAGAAACACAATATCAATGACATACTGTTCAAAAGGTTCGTGGACTGCAACTCTATTGTTTATTTACATTTTTTAATTTGCGTACACAATGTTACAAGAGAAAAATAATGAAACATGTCCTTAACATACAGTGAAAAATCAGCACAATGTGTTTACATATAACAATTCTGTGAAAATAAAAAATATCAAAGGGTACGCGATCCGGCGCACGATATTGGTAAAACAAAATGACGTTCATGACGTCAAAATTTGAATTAAAAATGTCACCAGCGTCATTGCTTCTGAAAGTACATTTTCGAGTGTTCAATGTTTCCGGATCATATAACATAACCATTTTCTGTGTGTTATGAGAAGCGGGAAAGAAAACGGTCACCTTTTCGGTCCATTTGTCGTATAAGGGCCTCGAGAGTCGATCAGTTTGCGCTCTTTATTGCGATTTTTTAATAATCTCGACACTTTACGGACAGAGTTAACAAGTTGATTCATTTATCAATTGGTGAATTATAATATTAATTTAAAACGACAATTGTTTGATCCATAAACAGTATGAATCTCAACAGAAAAGAAACAGTTTTATCAACTGACAATTATCTCCGGTAAATCACCGGTTTAAATATAATTTATTATCAAACAAATCAGGTAAAATACATGTAATACAAACCTACATTTATTTATTGTAAAAACGCATTTATCCTGATGTATAAAATAAAATATTCTTTAAATTTAATTGTTTGGTCAGAATTTAATTTGTAGACCCGATGCTGAAATTAAACATGCCGGACAGCTTGCAAACCTTTCATGCTGTACATCCTCCTGTATAAATTGTGCAATTGTTACAAACAATTCGCCGCTTTCCCCCTCGCCCTATCTGTCTGTGATCATGTATTTGCCATTTTTGAATCGCTTGCGCCAGCTGACACCGAATGACTTGCTCGCTGACTCATTGCCCTTTGTTAAATTAAAAACTTCATATGAAAAAGAATGAGTTCCCGCAGTTTGATGATTAAACTTTCCGAAAATGCGAATTTCTTGTTTTTAAATAGGCCTTTTATTTTTCATTTTACGCTACTGACTACTGCCGCTCAAAAATTGTTTGTTTAGTCATTCAACGTACAAATGACGTCGAATTTTAGGTTTACGTCAATTAAATATAAATAGATGTTTACCCCTATTTTACTTGGTGAAATAGCTGTTCAATTTATTTCAACATGTGTTTATTTTTAAACTTAGTGTCCAGCTTTATTTTGTCATCCAATGAAAACGCTGTATTTCTACAAACTTCTGTGTAGAAGAACAAAAACCGATACTATATCGAATTTCGTTCATAGTCGACTTCTATTTTTCAAAGTACTTCATAAAACCGCATAGTGACGTAGTAAAGTAAATAATAATGAGGCCAAATAAAGCTTGACACTAAGTATGATAGTATTCATCCTTAGCTGTTCTACAGAAATTAGAAACATTCTCCTGTCGCTATATCTCCCGTCGAAGTTTCTAATTTCTGTAGAAAAGCTCGGATGAACACTAACATATACATAGTAGGGAAATATCGACGTGCGCTGATGTTGCGTTGCCATGGTTATTAAAGTGCACATAATTCGTAAAGGAAGTTAAGGTCCCTACCAGCATTTCTTTTCCCTATAAGTATTCCTTTCCTTTATCCATCATTTTCCGTTTTTAACCCCCTTTTCGTTTCCTGTAACTTATCCATTACACCCCAATTTTTATCCCTTTAATTCTAATATCTTTATATTATATTCTTAGATGTTCTCGTTACGTTTTCTATGACTTTTCAGCTACTCTGAGCACAACATAATCGAGGTGAGTTTTTGTGATCACATTTTGTTCGCCCGTCAGTGAGTCTGTGAGTCCGTCGTCAACCTGTTTGTTTTAAACGATGTTTCCCCAGCAACCACTGGGTCAGATTTGATGAAACTTAAACTGGGATGTTCCTAGCATGAACGTCTACTAAAATTATTCATATGGTTCTGCTTCATTGAACATCTGGGAGAGAAGGAATGATTGAACCTAGATTATACAGATGAAATCTCTTAAACAATTATTCTCAAAAAGTTCAAGGCCTAGAGCTAAGATGTTTCATATGTAGTATCATTCAATAAAACGTTAAAAAGTGTTTAGATTATAGCCCTAGGTTCAAAATTTGTATCGCCCTAGGAGGTCATATCGTTTTATTTGCACTGTACCTCTGATCTTGCATGTATACTCCTTCTCAAAGTAACGTCCCATGCACGATTTGCACTTGTCCCATCAATCGACCCATGACTCGAACACGTGTTGTAGCCCGTCACATGACATCTCCCGCAGCTGTCTGTCCACGGCACACCTCAGTTCTTCTCTTGACTCAAATTTCGTCCACGAGGACTGACGAATTTCTAGGTCCGGACTGTAGGGTAGTTTTTCTAGTGTATGCTTGACAACGTGGCTTTATTGGCTCGGCGCGTTGTCGTGATGTTATTTGAATCCTGACCTAAGTAGATGTTGGCGCTTTCTCCTTATTGCCGCCATGAATTCGTTCTTAGAAATGTTGCATATTAGTTCCCAGTGACTGTCTTTTTCGGAGGAACAAAGTGGTTTAGCACTACTCCGTAAGTATCACAGAATATAATGGCCATAACCTTCCCGGCTGACTTGATTATTATCGCTTTTGTAGGGGAAGGCGAGGAAGGATGCTTCCAAAAAGAACTCTGACGTTTGCTTTCCGGTTCAAAAAGTGAATACACGTTTCATCAAGTGTTATCACTCGATTTAAAATGTTATTGACTTCATAATGATACCTCCTGTAGTACTGCTGATACATTTCACCCTTACGATATCTGCTCCGACGTCAACAAACGAGGTACCCATCTTTCTGAAACGCGGCGCATGCCTAATCTATCAGTCATTATGCCCTTAGCTGTACCATATGAAATAGGAAACTTATCTCCTACGTGCTCTACACTTACTCCTCTATCTCAGAGTTTGTACTCCTGAATGGTAGCCACTCTTTCTTTAACTGTTACAATCACTGGTATACCTACACGACTGTCGTCTTCAGTTGCCTCTCTACCGTTTTTAAACCTTTTGACAGATCAGTCTCTCCGTAAACCTTTTGCAAATCTTCACGAATATCGGAAATTTTTTCCGAGTTTTGTGAAAAACTTTATAACGATGCGATGTTCGTTGACGCTGTGTCACGCCCGTGACGTGACTTCATTTATGCTTTGTGATGTCATAAGTGATGTCGTCAAAGTTGTGTCCATAGTACGATTCAATTTAAAATAATCAGTTTTCGCGGCATTAAAGTTTCATTTTAAACGAACCAGTAGTTTTGACGCTTTTGAATTAGTTTACAAATTTATTGATGCACCTTCGTATAGACAAAAATTGGGTAGGTTTTTGGATCAATTAGTTTATAAAGACTTGTTTAATAAAAAAAAATATTAATGTGTTTTGTGAAGAACGTAACGTGTAGCATTTTCTAACAATTTGGATATAAAATGACATCAAATATGAACTAATTATTTACTTTTGCATTTAAGGATTGTGACCCTTTCTAGCAATTTATTTCAGATGAGCGATCAAGGGCAATCACGACACTGTTGCTTTTATCAAATTGTTTATCGGTACATCCCTCATTATCCCCTTTATTTTTCGACCTTGTCTAATTTTAATTTGTGTTTGACTACATATTGGGAACCCTATTCGAGGGTCCTGTGTTGCAGGGTTATTTAGGGGCTGTGTGCAATGAACGTAACCTTGCCATATTAATCTTTATTCTAATATTTTAAAGTAATTTGTTAGCATTTTATGAAGTTCATAAGTGTTATTTTAAAACTAAAACAATAAGACACCAGGGGTAGGACCTTTATTGTGTATCTGATGCGTTAAGCGAGAAAAACATGAAAGTTTATAGCTAAAACCGGTAATGAACTATGAAATATTTAAGAGTTTAGTTCACATATCAACAAATATGTGGAGTTTCTTTGAATATTTGATAAGTTAACGTTAATGACCGGTATCTAGTCGTATAGGTTTTCATATTATCTTTTATAAGAAAATAAAAAATATGTTACCAAACAGTTATTAAAAGAAGCAAATGAATGAACCCCACTTTTATTAATTTGTTTTAGATTTTGAGCTTAACAAACCATTTTGCGTCATAAGAATGACTCTTTAAGTAAACAAAGACACCGTTAAACATTTACAACCAGTTAAACACATACAAAGTGCCTCTGCATATATTTTAAACTTTACGGTTCGGGTCACCTTATAAACATTTGTATACTTGGTTGTATGTAAAAGAAAACTTGATTTTGAAAAAATCAAAATACATGTCAAATACATGTCAAACAACGTTTGATGTTATAATAATATATCAAATAATTTATTCAAATAATAAAGTGACATGCCTTGTCAAATGAATATTCATTGTAATTATAGTTTTCTGGTGAAGTGTAGATGTTCTTTTTGACATAGGTGATATACTTGGCGTTTTACGAATGGATATTATTGCCACGGTATGCCACTTAAACTGCAAGTTGAGTGTCATGACGGTTTTTCTTCAAAATGCTCGATTTGTTATATTAAATTCACCAGCTTATATTTATCTTCTGCACGATGCACGAGTTGGG